CAAATACGTATAAATTCAAAACAATATTTTTATTCTAAAAAGATTTTTTTTAAAAAATATTATGATATAAATTTATTTTTATCTAATTTTATTTAATCATATAGATAAATATTAGAGCAAATATGTATGTCAATGACATAAATCAAAAATATAATAAATATCATAAATAATTTTAATTTTTTATATAAAAAGAGATAAGTAGAAATAAATAAAATATATATATTATATAATATTTTATAAAATAGCTTTATAAAAGCTTCATAGATGCAGATTTGACTTTATATATGTTTGTAGGTGATTGATAGATTGAAGACTTGGCTAACAAATTGGTCACATATTGCACATGTTTGCCCCTTGTGATATAAGTTGGTCATGTGGCATACATATAAAAAACTTATCTTATAAGTTAGACACATGTCTTGCAAGTTGGACATGTATCAAAGGTCCTATAAAATGTTGCCACATAATTCTTTGTTAGATAATATATATTGATACAATAGTAAGGCCTCCTTTATTCTTATCAACTTCTTCCTTGCTTCTACTTTAATTTCAAGGATCTTTAGTATCTCAATTTTTGGCAATAGCTATTATAATTTTTTCTTAAAAATATCTATTTTTTTTTTATTTATTATTATTTTTTTTGTACTCTCAGTTTAGTATAAGTCTCATTTTTTATTTATATTGTTTGGATTCTTGTTTTTGATAATTAATTAAGTCCTTGCAAAAGATTATTTTTTTAAGTATGATTATGGATAATATCATCTTTATGCATAAAATATTATAAATATAAATTAAATAATTATAATATAATATTTTTTATATAAATCATACTAAATTTATCTAAAAGTTCTTCAATCCATATTAATAGAAGATATTTATCTAAATCAAATAACTATTCTTTTCATACTTTATTTTAGATAATATATTGGACATACAAAAAATCATAAGTTAGACTAAATCTTCTAATGAATCTTTAATTCTTTTTAATATTATTTTTTAAATTATATAACCAATTTCATTAAAGAATTATTTTTTTTAAAGAATTAATAAATTTTTGTTTAATACCTAAATTTGTTATATGAATAAAATACCTAAATTTGTATGTTTAATACCTAAATTTGTTATATTCAATAACTAGAAGAAGCATTGTAGTTGGTTTAAATAGATCATTTTATATATATAGATATTAAAAGAGAGTTAAGATACAAATACTTTTTGGATCCTTTAAATTTTTTTTTATTGGTAAAATCTTCAATTTATCCATTCAAATTGTAATTTAAGAACACAAAATAGATAGCATCAAGATTTCTTGGAATTAAAATAAAAAATTCACATATCAATATAAAAATTAGTTGATCATCATTATGAAAGATGAAAGAAATTTTTACAAAATAATTAAGAAATTTAACATCATATTTTCTCTAGAAATTAAGATATCTAAATTTGCTATATATTGGATATTTAAGAAAAAAACATAAGAGCCAATTGGACTAACAAATTTAAATCCTAAATAAATCCTTTAAAAATCTTAATTAAATCTTTATGAAATTCCAAATAATTTTTAAAAATCTTATTTAAATTCCAAGTAAAGTCTTATTAAATTTCTTTCAAATCTTAATCAAATTCTAAAAAAATTAAAAATAAATCTAAAATAAATCCTAATTGAATTACTATAAATCTTAATCAATTTTAAGTAAATTTAAGAAAAAAAAAATTAAAATCCTTATAGTTTTTTGATTAATTGTTGATTTTATCTAAGATATTGTACAAAATTTAAACTCTTAATTAAAAATACTTATAAGAAATTTAGAAAATTCTCACTTATAATTTGAGTTTTTTTTTAATTGTTCTTGAGAATTGGACAACCTTTTATATTTAATCTTAGGATCTATTTTTAATGTTGCTTTTGAACTAATCTTCTTTAAGTATCAATTTAAGATTTTCTTGGATAACTTTTGCTAGAATACATTCTTTGCCTTTACTTGAAAATGCTTGTATTATTATTTTTGCTAATCCATATATTTTTTTTCCTTCTTTATGATCCTACAAAGTACGTAGAAGTTCCTTTAACAAATAAGACAACATAGACTAAAACTTTTTCTACCTCCCTACTTTTTATCTATAACTTCTAAAATAACTTTTGATGAGCAATTATTGTTCCACAAACCACCTTTGTATTCTATTTCATAAATTAGTTGGTATTCCACAAAGAGGAAGTTTAAAAAAACTTCTTAAACATGAAACTACTCTTCTTATGAAATAGGATAAGTCTTGAATGAATAAGTACCTAATTGGAATTAAAATGCATGTGGTACTCAAATAAAAGTTTAAAATATGAAAAAGTGACTTGGTATTAAACAATACTATAAACACAAAGAAAATTAGTACTTATCTTATTTAATAGTATTAAATTGATCTTATAAATAGGGAAATGATAAAGCAATCCAAATTTTTACTAAATTAACCCACATGCCTCCCTCCCAACCATTCTCCTATTCCCCTCTTCCCAACTATTGCCCCCATTCCCAGCCCCTTGTCCTTGTCCATAGAAATTGTAGGGAATAGAGAACCACTAGGAACAAGAATGGGAACTAAAAGGGTGCAATGATACTTAAGATTGAGTGGATAGCGTAAGTAAAAATTTGGATCTATTTAACATTCCCCTATAAATATTATATAATAAGAAGAGGTTTGTATCACTTTTGACTCTATCAATGCATTGGATATACATTGTTTTTGTATCAAAAATCAAATCAAATCAAATCAACGAATCAATCTAGTGTGATGTCTGAATACCTGCACATCCTGGAATGATCATTTCAGCATGCCACAAACACCGCTTTTTCTTGACCTAATTTTGCAAATGCAACGAGAGTAACTCTTACCTCTAGCTAAATAAACATCTCGATCGTTTCATTTTATTTTTTCTTTGTATATGAAATGCCGACAGAAGAAATAAAAATATCAAATAAAAAAGCAAGCAACACTGTCTGGCCAAATTCAGCGCCATGAATGGCCAAGGACCAGTGTGCTTCAAGAATGCAGATAATTGTCGCTGCGATGCGAGAACTGTAAAGCTGTGAAGAACCAAACAAAACTGCGAAGGCAAGAACGAAGCTTTCCAGTGCTGAGGTACCCAGTGCCATGGTAATCTCCTATTTTCTTGATACTTCACAACCAAACCCCTTTCGTTTCTAATCGTCATATATCAACATCGCTTCGCACTGCAGATCACCATACTACTCCAAAATAGCGCAACACAAAAGTCATTTTTCACTGTGCCCTAATCACCCAATCAAGCTGTGAAAATTACCAGTCGTGATCAGTTTCTTCAAGGACAAACATACTTCGACAAATTGGCTGCACTTGGGAGCTCCCTGATCCAATTGAAAGTGTTAACGAAGAACGAGATTGATATCCTGTGCAAGGATGACAAAACTTCAAATAAACAATGCTCAGAATCTAGGATTACGGACAAGTGGCTAGAAAGACCGCAATCCGATGGAATATTTTGCGCTGCAGACACTTGAAGCATCCGTCACCGCATACGAGCTCTAGTTCCAGAACGACGGCTCCGATTTTGAATTCAAGGAGATCGACAGGGTGATAGAATTATCTGAATTTATTGGGGAGAGGGACCGTGCACCTGCAGATTTCGCCTCTGCACATGACCCATGTCTGGAAATCGACAATAGAAGGATAATTTCAACGGCTTTCACAGCTAAAGGTCTTCACCTCCCTCAGATTGACCTCGACGTCCACAGCATTATTGCAAAAGCGTCGAGAAGCACCTCTGAGACTGGGCTCCAAATCCACCAGTCGTATTTATTGTCTGTAGCAGAGTTCTTATTCTCCGTTACGAGTCACATGCACGTACTTAGAGTGGTTGTTACTGCTATTTCATCGACAACAAAGGGGCGTCCGTTTCAGTACATAGGAATGCCGTAGTGCTGTATCTATTAATCCTAGATTATTTTGTCTTCAACGTTCAGCCAATCATGAAACAATTTAGAACAATACGCGCAAAGGATGTGGTGACAGGGCTGGCGTGACAAGTGGCCTGATCGGGCCTTGTCCTGCGCCGGAAGTACTTTCACCTAAACAGATTAACCACACCCATATGATCGACCAAAAACAGATTTTGTCCCTCACTGTGTTGATTACCCAAACTGACGCTGCCATTACAAAAGGACCACAATAGCGATGGATGTGAACTTGAGTGACTCTGCACACCACCCATAAAACTGTTTTTTCTTTTCTCTTTCTGCGGCCTGCAAGATTTGTGGCTGCCGTATTGGGCTGATCAGGAGTGCAGTCGATTCAAAAAGCTGGCCAGGATAGGCACCAGTAACGTTGTCAGTCACACGCTGCCCATGGCTACTTTCATCCGGTGGGCACTTTACTAATCCGACACTGCACGCCACAGAAATTCCCTAGTCGTGCAGATATTTTAGCTTCTTTTCAATTTATTGAACAGTAGGGTAGAGCTAATACGTTAACGCACTGTGATTAATTTTTATGTGACTGGTTGTGTGGCCTATGGCTCTGTTCATCCCGGTTCAATCAAGTCGTTCCACGCAGTGATTATAACATTTTCCTCCGCCCATAAAGTTGTTGCCACCTAGTATTATGTAGGGATAGCAACAACTTTATGGACGGAGAAAAATGTTTTAAAGTTGTTGCCAAAATTCCCTGATCGGAGCGTACCGAGTATGAATTGACTCATTTCATGCGCATGTGCTTTCCAATATTGTCGGGCCTTCAGTTGGTTAACTGATTTCTTACCCTCCTTCCAGTTGTCGATAGCAGTATGATGTAATTACCTCTGACTGATTTGTTTAGAGATCACGTCTGCAAATGAAGCAAACTTCCTGGACAAAAGCTAGCTTGCGAACAATGCGTTCGCCGTCGTTAATTCCTAAGCTCCAGCCCGGTTGGAATCACTGTTGGAGCTGTCTAATCCAAAATAAAAAGTTTCGGTAGGACCAGTGTACCCGAATCTGGCTGCACGTCAAACGTCAGCCTTAGAAGCTTGAATCAAGACAAACATTCTTCGCTACAATGATCGATAGGCATTCATGGCCTCGTGAGAAAGAATACGCGATATTGTGAGGAGAAAGATACCAGTGGTGCTCAGAAAGCCGACAGAGGTATTTTCGAATGTGGTTGCTAGCACACCTCGTACTTCCAATCCTGACCATGTCCTCTATTTTAGGCGTGCCGATACCGCCTCCGATGCATTCCTATCGAACGATACAACTGGTTAAACTGGTGTGCAGGTGCAGATCGTTATCAAATGAAAGAATCTGGAGCATTTAGTTCATAGTTTTTGCAGTGAGTCCCTTACGAACTTGTGAGTGCACCTTCATATCAACCGGAAGAGTGAACTGTAGCAGCTGGTTCTCGAAGTAGAAGCAAAATGACCGTTGCCAGGCGAGAGCAGCGACAAGTTGACGGAATGCGAAAAGGACGGCTGCATGTAGTGGTGCTGCCGTATCCCGCAAAGGGCCACAGCATCCCGCTCCTGCATTTCGCGAAGCAGCTGCATTCCATGGGAGTTTTCGTCACTTTCGTCAACACATTCAACCATCTCTCCAAAGAGCATTTCAGGAGCATCTATGGCGCCAACGAGGATGACAATCCTATGCAAGTGGTGCCACTTGGAGTAACGCCTCCCGAGGGCGAAGGTCACACTAGTTTGCCTTATGTCAATCATGTCAACACCCTCGTGCCCGAGACCAAGATCCTCATGACAACCCTCTTCGCTCGCCATGAAGATGCTCCACCTTCTTGCATAGTTAGCGACATGTTCTTGGGGTGGACACAGGAAGTTGCAAATACGTTCAATATCCCAAAGTATGTTTTGTTCGCCTCGCCAGCGTCTGGTTTGGCGTTCATGCTGCACACGTCTGAGCTCGTAAAGCAGGGGAAGCTACCAATCGACCGGTCCAAGGAGGAGGACCTCGTGTATGACATCCCCGGTGTCCCACCGACTCGGTTAGCAGACTTTCCGTCGCCAATCCAAGACCCAGAGGACGATAGCTATCTGTTCTACCTACGCAACTGCGAGCAGCTGCTCGAGGCGGCCGGTGTGCTGATCAACACGTACTACGAGCTGGAGCCGACCTATATTGAGGCTCTTCGAAAGGCTTATAATCTAATAAGCTTTCTTCCGGTTGGCCCTTTATTGCCGAAGGCGTATTTCGAGCCTTCCAGCGATGTGGTTCCGGTGGATTCAGATATCCGGGATCCATGCTTGAAATGGCTGGACACGCAGCCGGACTCTTCCGTTCTATATGTCTCCTTCGGTAGCGTAGCGGTTTTATCAATTGAACAAATTCAAGAGATAGCGCAGGGATTAGAGGCGAGCGGGCAACGGTTTCTGCTGGTGCTGCGGCCACCATCGAACCCTGAGAATGTGCCCTTGTTGCCGGAAGGATTTGAGGAGCGCACTCGGGGTAGGGGGTTTGTGCAAGTAGGGTGGGCACCGCAGCTGTGGGTACTGTCTCATCGAGCTGTAGGAGGGTTTCTGACACATTGCGGGTGGAATTCGACGTTGGAGAGTATTTGCCGAGGGGTGCCGATGCTTGCGTGGCCGATTCAAGCAGAGCAGGCGATGAATGCCAGGTGATAATCGATCTACTTTATGGTTACTCACAACTGGGCTGAGGGAGTCAATTTTCGTAGATGCTCATAACTAGCCGAGTTAAGACATTCATGCTGACAGATGTGAGCCACTGTGTTTGCAGGTTTCTTGTGGATGTAGTCAAGGCAGGTGTCGAATTGTGCAGGGTAACGGATAAGCTCGTCACCAAGGAGCGTATTTCTGAAACTGTGAAGTTTTTCATGACGGAAGGTGTGTCAACAGCCCGAAAGAACGTACGGAAACTGCAAAAGCTGGCGTTGAATGCAGTGGCATTAGGTGCGTCGGTACAGAAGAACTTGGAAGACTTTACATTGGAGGTTAGATTTGGGAAACAACTACCCAACGGATTGTAGCTCTAAACTTCTAATTCTATCTAAAATAAAACCACAATCTAAGGCGCATGCTATATTATTTTTTTTTTTAATAAAGATCAGTGAAGAGACCAGTAGCTTCCATGTGTTGAGGACAAGTCTTTATTGCTTTAAATCGGTGGTGGATTACAAAATCAAAAAATCCAACTTTTACAAAACTTTGATGTGTAGCATCTATTACTACTACTAAGAGAAGTGTGGCACCTAATTATACTATTATTTTATGTCAACCAATCAATATTATCTACCTATTAATAGTTTGTCCAAAACCCATTCCAAGTACTATGAATTTTATTTATTGAGTACAACTTAATATTATTTTAACTTAATTGATATTAAACCTAGTTGCCATATCAACTAAATAAGATATCCTATATGTTGGAAATGGAGGGGTGGTTGACAATAGGTTGGCTACCTTACTAAGCATCATTGTTTGTAAACTTACTCCAAATCTTCAAGCATATATCAAAAACAATCTTTTTAGAAGATATGAAGCTTAAAATCTCAATCTTTTTTAAAAACTTAGGAGCAAATTAGTAGTTAACCTAAAATCTTAAGATGATTGCAATATATACATCCAAAATTCTTATATATAATACATTACATTCTTATTTGAGCTCTTTTTCACATTTTTTGTATCTTAAGAGATTAAAAAATCATTGTCCTAGTGATTATATTTATACAATGTCGGTTTTGCTAGTAAGGTATCATAAAAGAAGATTGAGATTTAGAGTGTAGATCTTTCCATGTCCTTAACTAGTGAAGGTATTTCTTAGCCATGAGTTGCAAAGCACATTACCATTGCACATGCTTAGTATAAGAAACATGATTATTAGATTATTAAATCATATCCTTATAATAATGAAATTATATAATCTTTAATTGTCATATAAAATGGCAAATTTGATTGTATAGATTCACATTGTAATACAATATACACAATTTTTTATATTGTAATACAACTTATATAAGTGAAGAATATATATATATATATATAATGTAAGGCATCTTGGGTATAAGATAAAGAAATAAAGAAGCTTATTGATTTGTAGGCAAGAAAGGAATTTAGAGAACACAAAGTACTTGGGACTATGACTATTTTTAAAACAAAGTTATTAGAACCTTGAAGATTTTTAATAACTACTTCTTTGCATATCAAATTGATCAATGTTTGGGTGTAAAGTATTGTGCTTGCTTCTCTTTTCACCTACTACTATCATAGACATACTTAATTACATAGATAAGAAGTATTAGATAGAAGATAAATGTAACTAGATATTATAATATCTTATGGTGAAGCTTCTTAAAAGCTTTATAGACATGGATTTGACTTTATACACATTTGTAGTTGATTGGTAGATTAAAAACTTTGCCAACAAGTTAGCCATGTATCATATATATATTGATGGTTTATAGTATAAGTTGACCATGTGGTGCTCATGTAAGAAACTTGTCTTGTAAGTTAGCCATGTATCACACATGTTGGTGGCTTGTAGTACAAGTTGACTATGTAGTGCTTATTTAAGAAACTTGTCTAATGAGTTAGACATGTGTATCAAAAGTTAAATATGTATTAGAGGGCCTATAGAACATTGCTACATAGTTCCTAGTTATATAGTTTATGTAGAGGATCTTTACTCTTATTATTACTTCTTTTAGTCATATTAATATTTTTTTATTTTTAATTTAATTTTAAAAGTATCTAGTCAGCTTGTCTTTGGCAATTGTCATTCTTGTTTTAATATTGTTCTACTTTTGAGTAACTATCTATTTTTTTTGAATGACCTATAAATATATTAAGGTTTTTATTATTTGTGAATCATATACTTCACAACCATTAGTGCTATTTTGAATTGAAATTTATCACTTTCTCCCTCTTGTAAGATCTAAAGCTATCTTTGCATTTAATCAAAAGATTTTATATAGGAATATTTTGAAGTTGTAGAAATTGAAGAAGCAAAGACAATTTGTATAGAAGAAGAATCAAAGACAAGTAACGTTGTAAATTTTTGAGGCACAATACTATTAAGCCTTAACAATACTAAGAAGGTTGTTGTTATTAATCACATGACTTTTTTCTTATTTCTACTTTGAAATTGAAAATATTTCTTCTCACAATTATCTTTCTGCTTGCTACCATTGCTAAGAGTAAGTAGAATGGTTAAGTGAGCAAATCTAAGTATTTCATAATAAATAAAATTTTGGATTATTGGAAATAATAAAGATTACAAGGACTGGATTCTTATTCAAGAATTTTTAGAAAGTCAAAAAAATAAACAAGAATTTTGTATTAGGCTTTTATCTAATAGCACATAACACTTGTAAAAGTAGATATTGTGATCTTTTCAAGTATTGATAGAATTAGAAGTTTAGTTGCATCTTATTATTTTTAGGTATTAATACTAGAAGAAACAACTTATTATTATAGCATGAATTATAATAAAGATGTGTTTATAGATTTATTTTTGGTTAAAGTAGCTCCAAGATTATTTTGCTATATGGATAAATTAGGAATTGTCTTGGTCTCCTCACAAAAATTTTTAGAAGATTGAATAGTTGTGAGGTAATATGATAGTAATAAGAGGAGATTTTTATTATTCAATTGAAATTATCTTTGAATAATAAAGTAGATAATTATTTGTGGTATAGCTTTTTATAAAATATAAGAATTTTACAAATAATAAAAAGTGAGATGTTTTTGAAATATATCATATTTGTGACTTTGAAGAAGTCCAAACTCAGTATCAATGATTCAGGGAGTGAAGCATAGACTGGATATGTGTTTATAGAAGAATAAAATAATATAAGAATATTATTTTTGACTTAGAGATTTTGATTGGAAGAATAGAATAATTGAATAAAATTATGTAATTGATAATGACTTCTAAGTATTTAGGTATGGTTTCCTAGCAATGATATAGTAGTATCATTTGATGTCACGAACATACTCATAATTACATATACAAATATGTAGAAGTAAATAAAATTAAGTAAAAGTAAGTTAATTCTATAGTTTTTGATATGGAAGCTTCTTAGAAGCTTCATAGATGCTGCTTTGACTTCATAGGTGTCTTTAATTGACTTTTTGAATTAGAAACGTGGTCAACAAGTTGGCCATGTACCACACATATTGTTAGCTTGAAGACCAAGCTAACTATGTGGCCCACACGTAGAAAGACTTGCCTTGTAAGTCAAAGCATGTGTCCTACAAAGTCAACACATATTGAAGGTCTTATAGAACATTGCCACATAGCGACTAGTTAGATAGTATATATAGAGACAAGAGTGAAGCCTTCTTCACTCTTGTCAACTCCTTTCTTGCTTCTAGTCTAGTTTCAAGGGTCTCTAGTTTCTTTGTCTTTTGGTAATAGCTATTCCAGTTTTTCTTTTAATATACATACTTGTTTATTTATATTTTATTATCTTTCTTTGAGTGAAGGCACATTTATCTGAATTATTTTTTCATCGAGTTCTTGTTCTTGACATTTGATTTATATAGCAAGAGTATTTATTATCTCCAGTAAGAATTAACTATTTAAAAGAATTTTAAGCTTTCAATTAATATTAATTTATTTTTTAAAATAATAAATTTAATTAGTTAATCTTAATTGATTATGCTATCAAAAAAAATTATTAAATAATAAATATAAACTAAAATTAATTTAATTAAAAAAATCTCCATATTATTATTACAACGTAATTATTAATGTAGTAAAGATGATGGTTTTGGATAGAGATGGTGTAGAATTGATAGTATAATAATGTAATGGTGGATTTGAGGTATGTCTTTGGTGGACTTGATGTATTATCATAGGATTTGAGACAATTGGTAGAAGTTAAATATTAAGTATTGATGATTATTTGGTATAGATTTTATTATATATTTGAATATTTGGCATTTTGTATGTGGCATGGATAGTAGATAAGTTGTGGATATGTAGACCACTATCCTTGAAGTGTTGGCATTAATAGTTGAGCCAAGGGTGAATGGTCAAAGAGGTTGCAATAGGATGGCACTTGAGTGCTGCTCATGAGTGGCAATTGTAGATAATAGTTATTAAAAGTTGAGTGAAGAGTGGATGCTTTATATCTAAGTCTATAACAATTTTTTGTAACATAGAGAAAGTATTGTTGCATGGGATAAGATATGGCCAATCAAAAGGAAGTAGAAAACAAAGAAGTATAATTTTCCTTACACTTGAGTAATATTGATTTGAGTCAATTATTTTTTTGATGTTGATTTAGAGGAAGTTGTGTAGCTGACTATATATTATTTCAATATATTTGCAAGGTAGGTTGATAAGGCTTTAGATTATTTAATAAAGAGTGTGACATATGTTTTATGAATGAAGCATTGCACTCCAAAAGCAGCAACTTTTTGGAACCTATTTTACAAAGATGAGTAAGATTTGAGAAGAAGTAGCCTATAAAAGAATATAAGTAATAAATCACAATAATTACGTTGATTAAGGATAAAAAAATGAAAGGTTGAAGGATAGCAATTGGTTTGATTGGATGCACATGTTTTGAATGCAATATTATGAGAAATATTAGTTTAATGATATATCATATTTTAAAGTCCATAAATAATTTAAAATTCATCCATATTGCATTTATATCAATGTAGGTGTCTTGTCACATTAGATTATGATGAAAAATTTTGTTATTTCAAAAAAATATAATACTATGAAATTTGAGAGTATTAACATGAAGCAATTTTGGATCATAAGTTTTAATTGATTGCATTCTTAGATACATTTTCTAGTAGTGGTTTTTAAAATGCTTGTAAAATTAGGTGATATATAAATGGAAGGTTGTTCATAATTATGCATAAGATTAAATTGATTCAATATATTTGAAGTCTTATAGTTAGCTTACATATTGCAATTTAAGAAAATTGTGCATAGATAAAATATTACATTTAAAAGATATAAATAATTAAAAAATTAATAATAAAAAATAACATGCACTGATCAGCACAATTAATAAATAAATAAATTCAAATAATCTAAAATAATAGATATTTATAGCTTCAAAATAAGAAAGAATAGAAAAAAAATAAAAATAAAAATATATATATATACACACATTATCTTTTGTATTATTAGTCATGATTAAATTTTATAAAAAACAAATTGATCTTTGAAAACACAAAGATTCAGAAATTTTCAATAAAAGCACTTAAAAAGAATCACCTAACAAGAGAGAATATTGAT